TGAAGGGAAGGGGTCTGGGAAGTCTTTTGCATTCCTCATGGGGATGTCGGAATCTACCACTATTCATTCCTTGAAGAAAAGGCGGTAATCCCGTGGTACTTGTGTGCGGTGCACAACCAATCCTGCAACGTTGTAGGTCGTCGATTTAATAGGTCGCACAAATTGGCAGTGATAACGATGTTGCCTACGACTACGAACATGGCGACGAAGCAGATCTTTCACTTTCTCGAGGGCATGGTGATCATACCGTCTAAAAGGTGGTAGTGAGCATGGGGAATGTCTATGTTGATGAGACATTTGTAATGGCTGATTTAACAGTAAATGTAAGGATCACGATGGACATGACGACAGTGAAGCTGATAATAAAAAGGCGAGGAAGGAAGAGTGGAGGAGGAGGACAGAGAAAAAGTAGTGAAAGAAGGGAGAGGATGATGTCCCGGAGGATGCCGCTGAAGGGGTAGGGGGTGATTGTGGTGATAGGAGCTGAGTGTATAGGAGGGAGGAAAGTGGGGACAACGGTCGAACAAATGATTAGTTGTGCACCTAACTCGACTATTTAGAGTCCTTTCTTGCAGATTACCTATACGTCTGGCCTCCAATCACTCTTTAGTCAGTCGTTCAACACTAGAATAGTGGCACGAAAATTCTCATCTCTTGCAGTCATTTCCAGGGCCTTAAGCATGTTGTCTACAAAGGTTGGTTGGGTTGCTGACCGGGTCGCAACATCCGCATTTGGCTATATGGAGCGCCGATGCTCCTGATGCATAATTATCAATTGGTAAGAGGTGGGCAGGTGCCAATTACCAAAAACATGAGCAACATTAACCCTTTATATAGCGGAATGCGGTTGTTCCAAGGGTCAGACCACAACCACTGATCAACTCAAAGCGAAGCTCGTGAAACAAACCCTAATAATGCAAAACAACAGTCCCGCAAGCAAAAAACAGAAAACAAATCCGGCAGCAATTCTATCGAATTACTATCAATAGACAAAATATTAATAAATCACACTTGATCAGCGAAGTGTTAGCAAAAATTTTACGACTTCTGCATTTGCGTGTTCATCTTTGATGTGCATATACAACCAAACAATGAAAATTTCAAAAATTTTAAAAATAGAAAAAATGTTGAAATGGTGCATACGCTACTTAAAAAAAAAACAAAGCAGCATTGGAATGATAATAATTTTCTACATGGCAGACTATAATTTTCAACATCTTCGCCACTTCAACATTTTCAAAAATTTCAGCATTGATATGCATTGCAAGGAGGGGAGGGTTGAAACAGACTATAATTTTCAACATCTTCGCCACTTCAACATTTTCAAAAATTTCAGCATTGATATGCATTGCAAGGAGGGGAGGGTTGTTCCAAAGTTTCAACACCTTCACAACTTCAAATTTATTGGAATGTTATTACTAAATGCCCCTTCAATTTTTTTAAAATCTTCAACGGCAATATACATCTGAAAAACTGAAGAGGGATGTAAAATTTTAAGATTTCTTCACCAGTTCAAAGTTTTTATAACCTTCAACAACAATCAAACACTGAAAATTTTAAAAACTCTAAAATGATGAAGATGCTGAAAAAACTTAATACCCTCTTGGGGGAAGAATCATAATGTCCCACATCTATATTCATAAAATTTCAGCATCTTCACCATTGCAACAATTTCACATTCTTCAACATTAATATGCATAACAGGGAGGGAAAATGTTGTCAAAATTTTCAACATCTTATTCACAATTTCAAACTCCTTGGATGTTCAATATTGACGTAAAGCGGAACCCTCGACATTTTTAAAACCTTAAAAGTGTTACCGTCTGTTTTCAAAAAGCTTACAAGTTCAATCTTCTTCACTTCAAAATTACCTTTCACAAAAATTTAGCAAGTCATTGACCAAAGAGAGAGAGAGAGAGAGAGAGAGAGAGAGAGAGAGAGAGAGAGAGAGAGAGAGAGAGAGAGAGAGAGAGACCATACACTTCATATGCTCGATGTTTTCTATAGTTTGGCCGGTCCACTTACATCCATAATTTGCTGCGGGGTAATTTCAACAAGGGAACTGCAATTCACGAGTAGCAATTGGAGGATTGGGTATGCAAACAAGTTTCATTTACCTTCGATATGGTATTCGTGCAACACAGGCCATATTATGTGGTTCTACTGGTAGTATATACACAAGTAAAAAAGCCAAAAAAATAAATAAATATATACATATTATATAATACAACAAAATTGAAAAAAACTACAAACATTGTGAAAATGATTAATATATTATGAAACTGTTAATAACCAGAGGTAAAATCTTGATGGAATAAAACAACTTCATAAAAAACTGCCTTATCCTCGTTGAGGGACAACCATAAAGCATTGCGCAAAGTACGAAATTTGAAAAACACAAAATGGTTAGTGAATGGTGAACTCAGTGTATAAGTCGCGCCTTGTTATCACGAATTCAAGATCAAAACTTTTTGGACTTACTACATCCTCCACAAAAAAACTCAAAATCGGCGCACTTAACAACCATTTGCTCTAATCCACTGAGCTACTAGAGACCTTTCTATTGTTGTAATCTATCATATTTTGTTGAAAAACATCTTGTCTTTTTACTTCAGTAGTCTTATGCCAAGTCTGCGTTACCAATACTTGGGAAGACATCATTAACCGTGCTACTCTAGGTATGGAAGTTATGCATGAACGTGTGCTCATAATTTTCCTTTGGATCTAGCATCCGTGGATGGTGCCCCTATATTGAGTAATTGATTATCGATAATAACCTGTGTAGCATCACATTCGAGCTCAGTGACCGAACCCGAACGCTCGGTACTGAGCCCGAACGTGGCCCGAAATCGACCGAGCTCGAACATTTTTTTTTTACTATATATATATATATTTTTTCATATATATAGGGGTTGGGAGGCCCCTGGGGGCATTGCTCATCACTCCTGAACATATACACACATGCACACACACACACACACACATCACACATGCACACAAACTCACACACACACACCCCACACACACGAGGACGCGCTAGGCAGGCCCCTGATTTGCGCTCGGCCGAACATTTTCGGTTCCCGCTCCGCGGAACATTTTCGGTTCCCGCTCGGCCGAGCGTCCGAACATGTTCGGCTGCTCGGTGGGGTGCCATGTTTGGTGTGCTACACAGATAATAACATTGAGCTTAAGTACAAAGTTTCATTCTATCGAATCAATCAAAAAAGAACAATTGAAAATAAGTTGCAACTTATTTTCAATTGTTCTTTTGTGATTAATTCGATAGAATGAAACTTTGTACTTTGTGCAACGTGGGCTATGTTATGTGGTTCTACTGGTCGTATATACACAAGTGAAAAAACAAAAGATAAGTATATATATATATGTATTATATATACAACAAAATTGAAAAAAACTACAAACATTGTGAAGATGGCTAATATATGATGAAACTGTTAATGACAACTTGGGTCCGATCAGTTCTTTTTTTATATTTTAAATATTAAAAAGCTGCCTTCTCCTCATCGGGGGACAGCCATGTATTTTTCTCTCACCTCACATATCTTTTAACTTGCGTTCCTAATGCTATACAGGGGACCCCTGCAAGTATAGATTTCTCTCTCTCTTCAGTGACGTGAGCTTACCTCTCTCGGTGGAGAGGGGTAACGGCATGTTTGCCCCCTTTGCCCTAGCGTTTAGGGTGCAGGGTCGGGGCCGCCGATGCAGCCCCGGCGAACGAAAGGACCGAGTACTTGGCCGGTAACTGTGCCTACCTTTTCATCTTCCCCCGCCCCCATCGAGTAACAGTCGTGTCTAAAGCCATCACTCTTCCACACTCCACATGCAACCCACTTGCACACGCACTCACACCCGTGTTGGCTGAAGACCTTACTGATACCGACTGGGAAAATCCAGCTGACGCAGTTGGTTGGCACCAAGAGTGCTACAGGCGGCCATGGGGGATTGAACCCGTGGCCTCCAACTAAAACAAAACAAGGATGCATAGAGGAAACACAACTCAAATGCTCCACCAATGTGTTCAGTCGATGTGTGCTTATGTTTGAAAACTGAGACAATGTAAAGACAGCTTCGGACGGTGGGGCAACCAAAATTCAAAAAAAGAACACACCCCGACCATGTCGATTGACTGCAATCAATAAAGGCATTATATCGAGTTTAATCTACTTTTGTTCCGCCTTAGTTGTAGCGATGCCAACATGAACCGAACAATTCGAGTCAAGTTCATAGTCCAGTGAACCTACCCAACCTGCCTCTGCCTGTTAGGCCCTGTTTTGACTCATCCTCTATACTTTCCAGTGAATCTGATGACTTTGTGTGGCCAGGATCATCCTTCTTCTAAAATTGATGGGGGCCTTTCAAAAGGTTGTTCTGACAAGAAGACAAGAATAAGAAACAGAAAGTCTCGTGCGGAGGTGCCTTTCCCTAATAAAAATTCAGTTCACTGCCACAAAAAAACAGACAGACTGTTGATAGGCACCACATTTTGCATTTCTTATCCGATGATGAATTTTGGCCGACGACAAAATCCAATCGAATTGAGCTGGACCGCAACATTCAGGTGGTTGGAGGAGTTTTAAGAGAGACGTGGATCGATTAAGTGCAAAAGGTCCTCACAATCACCTACACAAACAAGCAAGGAGAACGACTTCGTGGAGGCTAGGAAATATATTGTGTTAACTTCGGTACACAATTAAGATGGTGTAAGCACTGGCCCGCACTGCTTTTGAGTCTGACCCGCGATGCTTTTCTTACCCGGTTTATGTTTCCTTCCTAAGCCTGAGAGGTGACACCAGCGGAGCCTGCCCCGAAGGCTGCTCGCAAGTGCGTCAGACAAGCGTCTATGGATTGAGATGGTTAGAAGATGTGCTTTGTTTTTCACAAATAGAGTTCGACTCGATCCGCTTTGCTGACCCAGTGTATATTTTCTAAGCCTGAAAGATGGCAGCAGCCATCATCCCCTACCTTGGAGGCTGCTCACAAGCGTTCGCTTCTCTTGATTGAAGATGGTTATCAAAAACCCTTTGAAGGGGAGAGGGAAGGGAGCGGACTGAGGGAAGTGGAGCATGGAACATGTGTTTCAGCTGTCAAACACAGACCAGGAAAATAACCAGTCCAAGGGTGTATATATAATACTGGCAGGCTAATTTGACTCGACATTTTGGCAGCTCATTCGAGGGAAGATGCTATAATTAAGTTATACACGAGTCAAGTGTTATGGTAGGAAGGGACAGGAGCGTATGCATGAAGTAGGACTCCCAGCCATTTTGAATAAAAAAACTGTTATGCTGCAATGAATTGGAGAGTAAGAAACAAATCTTCAGCTCCTGTGAAAAATCAGACCTCGACTGCCCCAGGACAAGTTGATTGACTGTCTGCACAGCTGAACCACAAAACCACCTTCCTAGATGAAACTACAGTACCCATTTCTACAGCTTAGTTCCAAACAGCTAACATACATAGATACCAAGAGCTACTACCACGGTGTCAAAACAAAAGCCGTGAAGATCAAGTGAAGACTGCGCTTGCTTCACTTTGTCTACCATCCTTGTGCTGAGTACCGAAACTTTGTGTCGAGCAGACCCATTTCTCAGCAAGCTGACAATACCATCTGTGGATATGCAGACATCCCATTGACTTGACTTCTCCTCCACCATTGCATGTGTCAAATCCACACCACCCACCTACCCACCTATCCAAGACCTTGAATTCTCCTCTGCTGTTTCGTGATCACATCCGCAGCAGATCACCTACCCGTACCTCCAATGAGTCAACACATGTGTCAGTCGTGCAACCATCCACCCCTTGATATGTAGCCCCCCCCGGAACCTGGACCTTGCATTGGGGGAATGCCACCAGGGCCACCAAGAGGGGATGGTTGTTGTCGGTCCATCAAGCGAGGGCCAGGTGGATGAACACCAGGCCCAGGAGGGATGCCACGTCCTTCGATGTTCCCGAGGATGCCAGGGTACATTCTTCCGTGAGGGCTTCCAAGCACATCAGAAGGCATGCTACAAAACCCTTCACCCATTCTTTGCATTCTGCCAGGATATACAGGTCCTCCTCCATGGGGGCTTATCAGTGGATCTCTATTATTCACAAAACCCTCGCCGCCTCGTTCCATCCGGCCAGGATATGCCCCTGCACCAGGGCTTCCCAAAATTCCTGCGCCCCCGTTCGGACCCATGTGAGGCCCTATGTTAAGAGCGAGACCTGCAGGCCCTCTGATCCAGCTGGGATGTTCGTGCCGGTGAACTTCCACTCCCATCCGCAACCTTTCCCTTTCCCTTTCCTCCATCCGCAACCTTTCCATGTCCTCCATCCGCAACCTTTCCATTTCCTCCATCCGCAACCTTTCCCTTTCCTCCATCCGCAACCTTTCCCTTTCCCTTTCCCTTTCCTCCATCCGCAACCTTTCCATTTCCTCCATCCGCAGCCTGTCCCTTTCCCTATCCTCCATCCGCAACCTTTCCCTTTCCCTTTCCTCCATTCGCAATCTTTCCCTTTCCCTTTCCTCCATTCGCAGCCTCTCCCTTTCCCTTTCCAACCGTTCCCTTTCCATTTCCTCCATCTGCAACCTTTCCCTTTCCCTTTCCCTTTCCCTTTCCTCCATCCGCCACTGATCATTCGCTTTCACACCACCACCGCGCACAATACCAAGCGGTGAATCAATACGTGGTGGTAATTGCTGCTGCTGCTGAGAATGAGGCAATGAAAGATGCCCAGAATGAAGAGGCGTCGGCCCACTCACCATGGCACCGCCTCCTTGGGCAGGAGGGAAATGAGGGTTCCCACCCCTTTCAAATCCACGATCCAAAGCTTGTTGCTGTGGAGCTTCATAACCGTTGCGCTCCCATACGTCGTACCTCTGTTCCCTGGAATCAAACATATCCACCTCCACTAACACCCCTCTCTCTTGCAGCCTTCCCCTTGCTTCCTCTTCCCTCCTCTCCTTTTCCTCCCTGTCCCTTGCTATTTGCGCTCTCAAAACCTCTCTCGCTTTCTCATAACTGTCAAGATCCCGTTCCCTCGCATCATATGCGTCCACCCTCTGTTCCCTAGCATCATACATTTCCACCTCCACCAACATTCTTCCCGACGGCCTTTCCCTTCTCTCACGCTCATCCTCTCTCCTCTCTCTTCCCTCGCTTTCTTCCCTTTCCCTCCTTATCTCCTCCTCCATCCTCTGACTCCCCTCCCTTCCCTTCCTCTCCATCTCCCTCCTCTCCATCTCCTCTCTGACCTTCTCCCTCTCCCTCTGCATCTGCAGCTCTATCTCTTCATTTGCCCTCTCCCTCTCCATCTCTGCTGGCCTCTGCCTTTCATCAGGTGCTGTGAAAACCCCTTGTCTGAAATCCTCAACTCCTTGCACTGCTTTCCTCTTATTGAATTTCCCTCTTTTACCATGTTTTCTCCCAGACTCCACCTTGATTTCTGGATTGTCAGTATCCTGTACAAGAGGAGACACTGCCATGACCTGCGGCGGAGGTGGTGGTTTATTCAACGCTGACTCTTTATCAACATGGGGATTTCCAGGGGGCATGGGTCCTTGAGGAGAAAGAACAGTGGCAGCGGGAGCGATTGGATGGGCGGGCACTTGCGGTGTTGGCAACGAGTTATTGACAGGGGTCATCGTCGGGGACGGTACGACTGGCGGTGCAGTGTCTACTCTGACAAGGTGCTTCTGCTGCACCGCTATTTCAACATGCTTCTCATAGTGGTCTTCTCGGCTCCATAGGTAGAGCGGTGGCGCCAATACATTCCATTGGCTTACTTGATTATCAGATTTGTCGACTGACCCAGGAAGATAGAAAGACTGACACAAAACAAAAGACAACACACAGAAACAATGCCTGTCAGCCTCCAAAGAGATGTCCATCAATAGCCTCCAGAGATGCTAATCAATCAACAGCCATCAGTGATGATTATTCCCCGGAGAGCTGATGTAATACAGGTGCCCAGAATATTGTTGGTCCGCAGCTGCACAGCATGTCACCGCCAGACCGGCAAAAACTCTGCACAGGAAGAGGGGAGTCTACCTTTTTCTCCAATTGCCAAAAAGTTGCTCTCTCTTGATCCCTCAGGCTATGATTCCAGTTTTGAACACCGTGTCATGGCTACAGTGGTTACACTGCTTGGCTCTTGAGGCCAAGGGTGCCAGTCCGAACCCGTGTGCCGTTACAGAGGGACCAAAGGCCATAGGTATTGATCTGTACTTAACCAACCTGCCCGGCAATCATAGCAGGAATAGGTGGCCGTCGGGGGATAGGACCCCTTGTGGTCGAAGGTCATGTGCTGCATCGAGAGCATGTATGCGAGAATTGCTGAGTGTGGTGTTGTGTGTGCGTGTGTGAGTACCAACACTGCAGCCATGCAGGGGTGAAGTGGATATCCCAGCCGGTAGGGTACCACTTCTGAACACCGTGTCAGGGCTGCAGGGGTTACGATGCTTGGCTCTTGAGGCCAAGGGTACATAACAGTGTCGGTCCGAATCCATTCGCTGTCACGAAACCGTTGGAGCAACCAAACGCCGGAGGTACTGATATTGCTCACCGGCTGCTATTCCCTGCACTGACCAACTGCGCTATACGAGAGCAATTCCAGACTGCTGACAGCACATACTGCCCCAAGTGTGCATTTGCCCTCGTGCCACTCCAGCGCAAAATTTGTCCCTCCGTGGGGCTTGGTCCAGAGCTTCACTCAAGCGAAGCCAAAGCAAAAGAGAGAGCATTGTAATTTGTCACAAATTCAAGAGGAAAGAGGAAATATCCACCAACGGGCCTGGCGCAGTTGGTACACCCACGAACTGTTGAAATACAGACCCAAGTTCCAATCCACACACAATCAGATGACCAGAGAACGAAATCATTCTGAATTATCTGGGGCCGGTCAGTTCTATGATGATATCTCAAGGCCGTCAAGCGGAAACATCCACCACCCCATGCTAGAAAAGAAACCACCATCACACCTGTGTGCTCCAGACGAGGGTCACACAGCCCATTGCGGTGGAGGATAGTAGACATTGTTTGATGTACAGTCAGCGGACAGGTCAGGGCCGGCATTGGATTTGTCATAGGCCAACAGAAAGCCATCCACAAGTTTTCAGTGCTGTCATAAGGGGCCAGCAACAGGCTGTGTCCGTATGCTTGGCCCTATATGACATGACAGGCTGAGTCGTATTGCTCCTTTACCAGTCCGAACGACTGGCTCGGCTTTGCTTCATTTTGCTTTGCTTGCATGCTTCCAAGTTGTCATTCACCCTTAAACCACCCGTACGGGGGCGATTCCCCCTGCACGCAATGCTTTGCCGAAATGCCAGCACGGGCTTTTTCTTCTCTTATGGCTGGTGCCGGCCAGTCATTTTGGTCCAGCAGCCCCGACCTCCAAAATTTTCGGGTGGGCTCAATTTCCATTCTCAAGTTTGCCTGGGCAATGTACTGGCGGTTTAAAATTAGATTTGCTAGTGGTGCTTATCGAGAGCAACTGTAGATAGGAAAGGCTATCTGGCAGTTAATCCTCCCACCCAGGGAGCAATCATCGCTGGTCAGGGTTTTGTCGGCCTATGACGGAAGGAATGGTGGAGTGGGTGATGTTAAGCACTCTTTTTCAATTTGCAGTGTGGATAGGAACGGGACAGACGCTCCCCTGAATGGACACGGAGGCCGGACCATAAGCACCTGCCTTAAACATGAATAAATAAATAAAAAAACTCATACTCCAACCAATCGGTGGACAAAGTATCTGTCAATTAAGTTGAATTACCGCATCAGACTCCCAACGTTTCCAGTCACTGGCTGTGCAGCTTCGCCAGAGAGCAAGTGGCTCTGCATATGCAGAAATAGAACCCATCTAATAGCTCACATGTCCGGTGGGTTCCCCCAAAGATCTCCTCCGCTGTCTTGTTTCTGGGACGAGGCTCGACAGCGCTCGCTTGGTCTATTCTGCAACTCCCTCCCCAGTAATGCACTCGCACTGCTATGGCCCAATCCACTTCGCCTCTTGCCTAAAGCTCAAAAGCTAGCACTTATCATAAGGAAATCTAGCACTTGGCAATAACAAGGAAATCTAGCAATTGGCAATGATAAGGAAATCTACACTGTGGGCAATGTGAAAAGAGAGAGGGACAAAGACCACTGGAAACAGGCCACCACACACACACACACAGACACACACAGAGAGAGAGAGAGAGAGAGAGAGAGAGAGAGAGAGAGAGAGAGAGAGAGAGAGAGAGAGAGAGAGAGAGAGAGAGAGAGAGCATCACAAAGCCCTTTGGTGCAGATGGCGACGGACGAAGGAGGTGCTCAAGAAGAAACCTGAGAGGGAATTCCAACTCAAGAAACAGTTTGAGAGAAGACACACCCAGGACAGGAAGGTTGTGGTGATTGGTGTCAACATCTGAGATGGAAAGACTCCCATAATTCACAGAATTCAGGTGGTAAAGCCACCTCAACATCAAAACGACAGAAGGACAACACAATGCCATGCTCGCCGGAGCCACAACACTCGGGACATGGCTCTGCTCGGACATTCTACGGAGACAATGAGAGGCACTTGATAGCCTATCGGTTCCAGCAGGGAGAACAGTTAAGTCATCCCATTGCAGTAAGCAATCAATGCTGTCGAGTCGTTCAATAGCATCATGGAAGGGAACCAACCTGCTGCTTCCGTGAATAGATCAGAGCTGTGCCCCTGAGGGCACATTCTTTTAAGAAAGAGAAAAGGGGTTTGGGTTAGTACACGCATTCAAGTGCAAGTCATCCAGCCCCGCTATCTCTGGTCATAACACACATGCATGCAAACTGCCTGCGCCCTGACATATGTGTCCACTGTCCACCCTCGCCATCATGTCTCTCTCTCCCGCTCTATCCGGTGTTGCAATGGCATTACGCATGTGTCTATTTACCCTCCTGCCCCTCTCTTACTCTCTCACACACAAAGAAACACAAACTACCACCTCTTTCGTGCAGGCCAAGCAACAGTGGACAGATTAGTTGCCTTTTTTTTTGTTTTGTTTTTGAAAGCAGGACCAGGCTAGACTAGTTGGTATGATACAAAAACAAGTTGAGTAACCCCTATTACACATTGTTATGACTTATACACGTATTGCCAATGCTAATTCATTTCTTCCTTTGCGTCTCTAAAATCACCGCTGCCAACCGCACTAGGTGATTACCATGATGGACTAGTCTTCTTTCTTCATGAAAAAAGAAAAAAAGTGTGGTGTAATAATCCTCGGCACAACGCATCACCTTTCTCGTGCACGGTTGAAGAAGATGCAAGATGCGAAGGTGGGGACTGGGGGCAGGAAGGGGGGGGAGAAGGGGGTGAAATCCTTACATGTCCAGAAAGCAGTTCTGTGTCCTGCCAAACAAGCTTGTAGCCGTTGCCCTCTAGGCTGAAGAAATCACACATATACAGCAAAAACAGAGAAATAAATCGAAAACCACATGTCAAAAGAGGTGCTAGATATGAAGGTAGGGACTACACTTGCAAAACAGATATCAACAGCGCCTCGCCTCACTCACGCTGCGCATAAGGACTTGGAAATAAAACTTCCCCCCCCCCCCCCCCCTTTAATCCCCCAGCCATCGCCTCTCCCATTCTCCTACTCTACCTCCCCCCTGTCCGTACCTCCTCTAAAATCCAACGACCAAAAATTATGGAGCTACCCATGGCCCTGGCTCAGTCGGTAAACCGTCGTAATTCAGAATCACCTGGGGCCAGTCAGTTCAATGATTCAATCATATGTCAACGTCGCCGCCTTAGAACACAAAAAAACAAAAAAAATGGAGCCGATAGAGATCAGGGTGCGCAGACAATACAGCAGCCAACAAATTTTCACAATTGTTTTTGCATGCAGTTGGGACCACTTCTTGGTTTTTGTTTTTCATCCTCGCCCATGGCCCATGCTTAACTGTATCATTAATTAAAAAAAAACAAAACAAAGGGCAACGACCTTTAGATATCATCATTGAAGTTGATTGAACTGATCGGCCCCAGACAATTCAGAACGATTTTGTTCTTTTCAAATGTTTCATCGGATAGATTCTGGATTCGAACTCGAGTCTGTATTTCAACAGTTCAGGGGTGTACTCACTAAGCTAGGCCCGTTGGTTATCATTAATCCTTCTGTCCCAAAAAACAATTTCATGAAACTTTGAGAACAGAGAAGCACACAAAAACAAGGCACAAGAGAGCTGATGGGCAAAGGAACATGGGAGACAGTGAGTCCAAACATAACCCATATTTCCTTTAACGGTGGGGTTGGGTAGGGAATGGACAGAAGGCCAGGAGATGGAACACAGCGAAATAAGTACAGGATTCGTTAGCGCTAGTGAAAGGTACTGACACAAGGACCACTGGGAAGAAAATGAGTCATACAAGTTTGGGCCTGGAGCACGTCGTTGTTTTGCATGCATAATTGCTCAATACAACAAGGGGTGACTCACACGAGGACATTTTAACTTTTAAGCTGATTTCTGGTCCTCGTTGTAGTCAAATACATCTAGGATGAGCCGTAATTGCTGTCAGATTCATCCAGCGAAGCCCTAGTGTGATGTGCTCCAACACCGCAACTGAGAAAGTAGACAAGTTCTTTGATGCCAGAAGAACGTAAAGAGCATACCTTCTTGTTTCCTTCGGAACAATCAGAACAACAAGCTTGGGCCTCCATTGCAGGGCATGCGAAATGAAAGTGTTCGCCAGCTTTGCCCGGACACCAAATGGTGGATTCAAACCCATTATCTACATCAAATTAACATCCCATAAATGCCCACCAGTTATTAGCCAAACCGTTTCAGAAGAATCAGAACAGAAAACAGACCTTCCTTTTCTATGGATCACTGCAGGACACGGCCGTGGCTTTTATACAGCATACTTCCACATGAACACACACACACACACACACACAAACAGAGAGAGAGAGAGAGAGAGAGAGAGAGAGAGAGAGAGAGAGAGAGAGAGAGAGAGAGAGAGAGAGAGANGAGAGAGAGAGAGAGAGAGAGAGAGAGAGAGAGAGAGAGAGAGAGAGAGAGAGAGAGAGAGAGAGAGAGAGAGAGAGAGAGAGAGAGATTCTCTGTTCCCGCCCGTCCTCTGTGTCACGGGTGAAGCCGTTCCAGGCAACCACTTGTTATTGTAAAAAAATGAACAAACTGCAAAAGAAAAACAATTTAATCAACTCGGGCGCAACAGCTGTTTCTCTATTGAGAGGACGGACTAGCGGACAGCCTTGATTGACAAATTCTGACAATAGTATGAAAGGCACATCTCTCGTAACTTCACTTGCAACTAAACGACTGATTGCCAAGATCTTCCTCCCTCTCCCTCTCTCTTGCATGAAGAGCACACATGCTTGCACACAGGGCGAGGCATGTACGTACATGCGATTCCATGTATGCACGCATGTGCACCTCTCTCTCTTCCTCTCTGTCATGCGCACAAAACACACCACCATCCATCTTGTGTGCACGCTTGGATACACAACCAACCACATGTGCTTGCAGTCCGTCTCACCCTCTCTCACACACACACATTCTCAATCTGGGCTGTTGGCATTAACCGGTCCACAAACTCAACTTATGAAGACAGTCAGAATCCGTCAGACAAATGCCGGCAACTCAGCAGACAGGTGTGGGCCACACCTATGATAGCCACCAAATTGCGTGCCTAGCAAGATAGTATGATATAAATTGCCTAGCAGGATAGTATGATATAAGTAGCACCCAAGCTCCTAACGCCTAGTGAGGGACGACATGACTCTCCTTCCTGCCAGGAACTGCTAAGGAGGGAGGGACAAGCCAACTATCGCAGCTGGTGAACCCCAAGTGCGCCGCAGGGGGCCATGGGGGAGTGAACGGACGGCATGGGGAATCGTAGGCCGATCCCACGACCTGCTGAATGCCACTTCTGTGCTCTACCAACTGAGCTAGGCCACTTGGCCCAGTAGCAAGCTCTCACTTCAAGCTCAGCCTTCAAAACACGTTTAAGCCCTGAATACGACCCAGCCTCGTTGCGTGCACTGTCGTGGTTTCTCTCGATTTCCGCTCCCCTTTTCCCTTTTCTCCATTCCGCATGCAATTTTCAGCAACTTTTCGCTGGAGATTTATGACAACCAGGCTGCCGGAGACGAGACTAATTTAGTAATTTGACACAAAAACACCCTCCTGCACTTCTTCCAGGTACAGTCTGCAGGCAGACTGCTGATGCAAAAAATCGAAGATGCGAAGGCTCAAGATAGATGCGCTGTTATGTGACTTGTGGCCAAATGGCACACTCATGCAACTGTCATAAGCAGCTCGTTATGTTAGTTCAAAATTCAAATCCTGATGTATTATGTTAGGGGCCACACCTTACATTAGAGGGGGGGGAGGGGGGGGGGGGGGGAAGGGGGGCAAAATGATACCTTCATCAATGAAGATTGAAACCCCAACCCAAACCAGTCGACTCTGGTGCATCGATCAGACGCAAAGCATCTGCTCCGGCGAGCGGAGTGAGTGCCAGGATAGAAGCGTACGAGAAGTTCTCTCGTCTAGACCCAAGCAAGTGCACACACAGCCCATGGCCAAGGGCACAATATTTTGCTTCTAGTTTACCAAGAAAGGGGGTAATTGCGAGGCATCCCCCTCCACCCAGAGGTCGATGTGGTGATATTCATTAACATGTTGATGGCCTGGGTAACCTACCAGTCTGTCCCCACTTGCTGGAATCTGATGAAGTTTCACCTTGAGCCAGTCGTGTTGCGTGAAATTGAAGTCATTCTGCAATGAGATAACAGATGGATGGACCAGATCAAAGCAGAGAGAAAAAAGTCAATCCGTCATCCTGCACTAGGAAACAACGCCCTTGCCGGTGTCTTCGCTCCTTCCCCAATCCTTCCTCATAGAGTGACCCAGATGCTGATCAAACACATCCATTCACTTCCAGTTGTTGAGCAGACCATTTCACACACACCAGCACTAAAATGCAAGCCACTCGGTGCCCTGTGCCGCCCTGAGGAGCATGGCACTTCGATAACAATGTGATTGACGATGCCATTGCCACCAATTTCACATTTCCCTTCTCCTACCCACCCACACGTATTGACCCACACTCTCAAACACATCAACGCATGGCCATTTTTCCGAGCACATGCGCTTATGTGTTATCATGTTCGCTAATGTCCGCTAAACAACTCCACGTCAAAGCATGACTGTAGCCAGTGATTTCGTCAGAATATCACTTACTTGGTACCCACCAGCGCCACCAACAAAAAAATTACCCATACTCTCAAACACATCAACCCGCTTCCAGTTTTGTGTGCATGCGTTTGCTAAACACGACTCCACACCGAAGGATGACTGTCACAAACAGTTTTGTTGGAATCCACCAAACGATCATTAAACAAAAGGTTTGAAAGTTGGTCCACCCTGCAACATTGAACATGTACCCCGGCACACCAACTGAAACTTTCAGCGAGTTGGGTGGCTTTACTTATCCAGCCTTGCAATCCTAGCCGGCAGTCTAGTTCAACGAAAGCAAAACACATTCCGTGATAGAATAGGCTAGAAGCGCATGCCACACCCACACCTATTCGCCAACACCGCACCTATTCGCCAACGTCACAAGTCATCCGTAAATGTAGATAATCTTCACGTTCTCGCCTAAACAGGCAAACAAAAGCAGAAAAGAGAAGGATGCAAATCAGGAAAATAAAAGGAGATAGCAGGAGATAAAATCAGAGGAGGAAGGATAGGAGAAAGTAGGTTCCAGGGGTATCTTCTTGCCCAACCCCTAGACACGCAAGGGCAGAAGATCACCGATGTCCACAGAGAAAATGTCTCTGCAGAAAAGCCAGGACTATCTTCCGCATTACATCATTGCTCACAAAGGTCCATAGTATTCATACTCTTTTTGATCCACACATACTGGCACTATTTTCATCCTATGAACGCGGAACCTGGCCGCTACTTCGGCCAGGTTCCTTCTTTCCAAGCATGAGCGTAGCACACACACTCGCGCCTGGCACTTCAACATGGCATTCTAAGCCCACGTGAGGTGACGTGACAGTGCAACACAGGGATGCAGAGAGGAGATATACTGACCTTGGGTGGCATTATGTCGAAGTTCTTGAACTGACATTTAGATTTTCCAACCTCGGTTAGCTTTTCAAACATCAGCGTCGAGAAGTCATTTGCACCGCAACAGAAATCCACGAGCTGCCAGAAATCGCAGAACAAGAGAAGAATCATAAGACCAACACCCCTCAACATTCCCCCATCCTCCCCTTGTGCATGTCAATCCTGCATGTGTGTAAAGTTGTAAACTGTCACCACAACAACCCCTTTTCCACCCAGATGAGCAGATCCAGAATTGAACAGCTCTACCTCTATAGCCCACAGCATGAAGCACAATAAAACCATTATATTGCCTTTTCCTTGTACAATCCTTTCTTCACTTCCTTCCTTTACTTTGGCGTGAACCTGTATATGGGTAAGCATGTTTTAAATTTCCCCCACAAGTATGTTTTAAATTTCCCCCACAACAGCCCCAATTAGTGCAGACCATGAGAGCACTTGAGTTGAGACAGTCCAACCATAGCAATTTTAGAATTAGACAATTTCACCTCCTTAGCAAGCAACATGGAGCATAATAGAACCGTTTAAAACTGTGTTTACTTTGGTTTTCCTCGGGGTACCCATTCCATTTGTTCTTGCAGCTCCCCTCTTACTATCACATGTACAAGGCTGCCCACGTTGATTGTGGTTGAGCGGTAGCTGCACACACCCCTGTGTGTCTGGACGGCCCACTTGCACGTTATGAAAGGACCCAGCGTAAAGGGGAAGGCATACTCCTGTTCATTTCCCTTCAGATCGTCAGCTTATACTTTGTCTGTTCTCTTAACGATGCTCAATCGTATGTTGTCTGCTCGTAGCACATAAGGGGAGGGTAGAGGGAAAGGGGTAGGAAGCGAAGTTCTATAGGGAGTGAAAGACTGGGGAGGGAGAAGGGTAGCAGAGGAAATGGAGTGCAAAGGACAGGACAGAGATGTAACGACAGGATTCTAATTACGCATTGCCGGAGCAGACTACTCTAGAATGGCACATGAGGCCGGTCAGTGTCTGGGTTGCATGTGTGTGAACACGCATGTGGGTGTGCATGCACAAAAGACGGAAGAGAAAGCAGGGGAGGGAGGTAGAGGCCAACCATGTCTCCATCTTCCATGTACCACTGTAGCCTGGAAACAACCTGCACATTGACGACAAAGCAGCTATTCCGTAAGCCTCGAATCATATTATGGGGAAAGTCCGAAAACCTATCAGGTTGAGAACTCATCTGTTGGTCAAGACCTGAAAATGGGGGTCCCCGTTAACCATTAGTGGGGAGAATGAAAGCGAATGAAACGAACCACCAGTACGTTTCCCAGCCAAAAAGATGCATCCAGGCAATCACAAATCTGCAATGCCTGATGCAGCCATGTTAGGCCTCCACAAGGGGGTCTAAAGACAACAAATTTGATGCCAAACAAGCCCTGGTGGGCAACAGCCATTGCCAAACCCATTATCCTACCGTCTTCACCCGACTAGAACGCCCGGTCATTATCGCTGAATCTGTACTGAAAGTTGCACCAAATGCCAGAAATATTCGGGTGAAGACGGTAGCCCTGAAAAAGAACATCCGCCTTCAGAAAACCCAGACGGAAGCCAGGTGTTCATAAAATATCCCCTAAAAACTCGATCGTGCTTTCACCATGTAGTTTCTTCTCTTTACATTCATTTAAGAAGAGGCACAGAAACTGCTGCTTTGCTTTTTTTAAGTTTTTTATGCTCAGTTATACTCAGCATACAATAGTCTTGACTAGTTCAAGTGCAGTAAAACACAATCCCCTAGCTGTGTAGGTCAGGTGCAGTAAACCACAATCCCCTAACTGACAGATATGTCCTCCCTCCTGTGTGCTAACTATATTGGCCATGTAGGTTAACCTTTTAATTGTTTTTTTCATGTGGAGCTATCGAAGGCATACAGTCTTCACTAATAGGTGTTTTCATTTATGTAATAATGACCATCTCTCAATGTATTTGGTGTAGTTTTAGCTTTACGCCAAAATGTATTTGTATAAGAATGCATGTACAAAACACCACCAATGGAACTTGCCAAAGCTCCCAGTGAGCCAAAAATAGGCCATGCACTTGGCTCAACTTACATGATAAGGATGATCTCGAAAACCCGCTCATACAAGAACATAAAATAAAGGGGTATTGTTTCTTTTCACACCTGCACAGTCGTTGCTCTCGTCACCAGCCATGAGCATGAAATAACCTCCCACCTTTTCATGCCTACACCCAATAATCCCTTTCCTCACCAGCCATGCAGCCCCCCCCCTCTAACCCCTTCACCCTTTCTCCCGCCCCCTTAACCCCTCCCCTTGAATCTCTCCCCCCCCTCCCCCCAACCCCACCCCACCCGAAACCCTTCTTCTCTGCCCTTGTCACATTCAACATGCAAGATCATAAAATAAAGGGGTGTTGTTTTTTTTCCACACCGACACAGTCATTGCTCTCGTCACCAGCCATGAGCATGAAACAACCTCCCACCTCTTCATGTCTACACTGCCGAATAATCCCTTCCCTCACCAGCCACGCAGCTCCCCTCTTGACCCCTTCACCCTCCCTCCCGCCCCCTTGACCCCTCCACTTGAATCTCTCCCCCCCCTTCCCCCCCCAAACCCCACCCCACCCGAAACCCTTCTTCTCTGCCTTCTTTCCCTCTCCCATTTGCCTGAATTGTGAGTTACATACCTCTCTTAACTTGTCCACCTGCGTGAAGTGTCTGCCGAAAGAAGTGTACCGGGAACCATGGAGGAAAGGGGCCAAATAGACACGGAGGTATGTCTGCAAACAATGCACAGTACAATTTTGCAAGCAATCTCAGTTTGATGCACAACAACAATCAATGAAAATTCAAAACAAGAGACAACAGAGCCGCTGGGTAGCTGGGCATGCCTGCCTGGGTAGCTGGCGGGCCTGGACAGCTCAGACTCTCCCTGCCCAGAGGAGCCAGGCAGGTCGAAAGTGGATCAAGAAGTCTAGACAAAAGTGCAGCTTGGTGATGGATCTGTCTGAGCACTCAGAATCTGGCCTATCTTTCAAATGAGCGACGACTCACCTAAGAGGGGGGATTGGGGGTCTAAAACAAGTTGAGAGGAACATGCCTTGACTCTATTTTTCTTTTTTCTTTTCACCTTCCATGAATAAATATGCTTGAATTGAGTAAGGAATTTCAAACTTACTCTCGGCCAAAAGTCGTTTGTAGTGCGATTCCACCTTGGTTATTTTCTTTGCCTGGTGGGGTGACCGGGTGTATTCCCTGGGGGGTCTGACAGGCGTGGGGGGATACGTGGGGTCAATTTTTCTTTTTTTTGTTGGCGGTGGACGTTTGCTGCACATGCCCAGAGGAGCCCAAGTCCGGGCTCTGTTCTTTTTTTGAGCTTCGGCTGTCAAGGCGGGGCAAGGGAAGTCTAAATTAATTTGTTTCGAAGGGATCCGAAGGGGGCTGCCTTACTCTGATTTTTCTATGCCAAGCCTGGCAACCGGGGGAGAAGCTGGGTGCCCGCCGCCCGGGCGCTCTAGAAAACTAGGGATTCCACACAAATTTTCCGAGATGATTCTGAATGCTCAATAGATTTCATTTCAATGCAGTGGATACCTAGGACCTGGTCGTTGGGCACCCAGGCAGCCAGAGCCAACCAGGAACCCTGGCCCATAGATAACATCAAAAGAAATTCACGCAATGAGATCGAACAGGACACCGGAATATCAAAAGAAATTAACGCCATGAGATGGAACAAAACAACAGAATAAAACTAAAAAAGCAAGACAAAGCCGGCTTCCTGTGGGTAACACACCTGCTCCTCTTTACGCTATCAAAACAAAAGCCGCGAGTGCAACCTTCACGGATAACGAGTAAAAGGGCAAGGGTAGCAGTATCCCTTAGCAAGAAGGAAAGCTCAGATGGAGGCGAAGACAACCGTGCCCAAGACAACCGTCTTTCCCCCGAACACAACGCAACCTCAGCACGGCACTACTACGTCAGAAACATAGCTTGTATACATTCACTACGGGGACACATTCAGGGGAAGATTATCTTTTTTTTTTTTTAACTATGCCACCACGCTAGGGGGAGTGATATGAGCAACCCCTCCTGGCGGGCCACCTGGTTGCTCCAATCTATTGGTGGCGAGGAACACCTGCTGGAAAACGGGTCCAGCGTCCCACTGAACATCAAAGCTGATTTTCACACTGTTTCTTGCCAGCATTGATTGCCCCTACTACCGGGGATTGACTGTGCAGGCACTGTTCAGGGGAAGATTGTAACTATGACTTACCAGCTTCCAATTAGTTTGTCAGGCTCATTGGCAGGCTCCACTGGTGCTATGTTTGTGCTCGGAAAGTGTAAACCTGACCACAGGATAGTGGCCAGGTTTGTGCTTTCCTGGCGTGAACATAGCACCAGTGGGGTCTACCTCTCTGGATACAGATGGCTACATGAGAGTTGCTAGCATAGAACATAATATGGTATTTGCGTACCATGCTCCGAAGTCAGTTAATGGTGTGACTGTGAGTAGCAGGTTGGCAGTGGGGCCACTTTTCCATGGCAGTCAGGTGACCATACTGCCATGGAGTCGAGAATGACCCGTGGGCACAAACAAAATGAAGTGAAACTACGCAGCTTTTGGAAAAAGAGCATGATCACGCGCATGCACTGCTGGGATACATGCAGGACAGAAAAAAAACAAGGACAGCCTGGACAGGCATAAAAAAGAAATCCCACGAATCAACTTTTTCGCAATGAAGATTTTCATGACCGGCCACTCACCCAGGCTTGAAGAATACCCGGGCATGGGAAAAAAATAAAAAACAAAATTGGCCGTGGGGGGTTTCCGCGCTCTCCGAGAGGAGCCCAAATCCGGGCTCTTTTTTTTTTTTGAGTGTTGGTTGT